ATGTGTGAACCTGTGTTCTCTAAGCCAGTACCAATTTGATCACTCATGGATTTGCCCTCTTCCGTTTTCACTTGCTTCAGGGTGGCTGTCTATTCTGCATTTGGTTTGAGTTTCTTTTTGCACTGTGAGTAACGTGGTAACTTCAACAGCTGTATGGTAAGGGAGCATGGCTTCCCCTTCCATCTTAGATTTATTAACACACAACAAGCACAATTACAAAAAAAAAGAGAAACAAATTGCAAATCATGAACTCATCATCAGGTATTACATTGATTGTTTTTAGTAACTAGAAGAAATCAGATATTTTCTTACCTAATAAATTAATAGTTTTAGAAAATAAAGAAATGTGGTAATAGTCTCCTTGGCAAAGTCTTCCTTCATTAACACAAAGCTGTTAGCACAGTTGTGGCTTGGAGCTAAAGCTGGGAGTGAGCACAGCTCTGAGGCTCAGACATCTGTGTTTGGGATCTACTTGGCCCCCATGCTTGCAAAATACTCCTGGTGCCTCCTATGGATCAAAAACCCTGAGCTGCATATTTGAAGAACTGAGAAATGCTTCAAGCCAGAGCTTGGCCACCTTTTTCAGTCTGCACCCTTTTAAGTCAGGGTTTTATTTTAATTTCCACTTTCCATACTGCAACCCAAGAAGTCAGGGCATGGCATGCCACTAGTAACAGGGATCAGTGCTGGGTAATGAGGACCTAACAGGAACTGCAAGCCCACAGTAACAGGGTGGATGCTGAGCTCATTTGTAGTAACAGGACTTTGAGATGCATTTTATTATGCCACAATTACCCCCAGAATTTGAACTCTTTAAAGTAAAATCACTTGAAGGTGTGGTTTTTGAAATTGTCTGGAAAATCTGAAGTGAGGGGAACAGAAGTCACTGTATTTCTGTGCCTTCAAGCAGTTCTTCAGATGAAGTGATGAGTCTTCTCCATGACAAGGTAAATCTAAGAAACTTTCAGTTTGAGGACACAAGCGATTTCACAACATCTTGCTTTTGGTGACATCTCTAAGTGGAGTTCATTGATGAAATTTGGAAAAAGATGAAAACAGATAGCAGCAACATGTTTATTTGCTTAAGATCTGACTTGTTTAAGCACTTTAATCTGAGAGAGTATGCGAGTCAGTGTTTCCTGGTTGGCACAGGATAAATGCTTGCTTTGTTTGCTTTGGTCATTTTTTAAAAACAGAACAAATAAACACACAAAACCAGCCCTGCACTGGTTTAGTGATGAACTGGTGGCATGATAAAACGTGTTTTACTGCCATATTTCTCTATTAAGTCTGTGCTATGATAGAATATAGCCATCAGCATAGCCAGACAATTTCATTTTGAGCTCTAAAGCCTAATCAGGCATTAACTAAGAGCTTTCTTACCATTGCAAGTGACAGCAACATTTGATCGTGTTTCTGCCAAAATCAATACATGAAAACTTGCAAAGATAATGCATTAAATGAACTAGGGCACTCATCATTTATCCTCTAACCTTTCTCTCACTTTATGAACATAAAATGTTCCTCTTTCAATCATGGGGTCTTAGAGCACTTAAGTAAGTTTGGATTGAGAATACAGAGTGCTAAGCCTTCATAACAGAGGAGCGCCTATAACAGATGCATACAGATGGATACTGTGATTTTTATTACAGCTTGGTAGAATATAACGAGCTTACTCAAGCAAAGTATAATGTTTTAGGTAGAGAAATTAAGTATCATTAGTTTGCTTCATTATCTTCATTGTGTTAGGAGAGATGGATAAGAAGATTTTGCACCTCAGCTGGCAAATACTATTGACAGTATTTTAAGGCGGTTTTGGTTTACACACTAGTTCAGGACAGCCTACTGTTGGAAAAGCATCATGTTGCTGTGTGAGCTAGAGGAAGGAAAAAGAAAACCGTGAACCAGCTTGGCTTGGAGTAATGTTCCTTTCAGTCTTGTCAGACTTGCAAGCTGCACTCTGTTGAAGAGCTGTTCTTTGACCTCACTTAAATGTGGTAATTACATATTGCTATCACCCCAAAGAAAAATGCAAGGAATCTTTTAATCATTATCAAAGATAAGAAAAATTGGATTGCCTTAGAAGGCCCTATTTGAAAATGCTGAACTGAAGTGTGTCCTCTGTGCTTAGTCATTCCTATCTGTATGTACTCCAGGCAGGGAGAACTGAGAAGTGCTAATTCACCCACGAGGACACATCCAAATTATATAGTTTTATGCAGTGCATTCATCTGACAGAGAGATGAATGGATTTCTGTATCTCTTTCTACTGTACCATCGTACTTTTACTTGCTATGCTATCCAACTGCCTTTTGGTGTGAATGAATTTAATTACTTCATTGATGTTCTAATTACCAGTGTATTGTATTGTTGTGCAAGGACAGATGATCACCAAAGACTGTATATTTAATAACAGACCTTAAAATTGCATTCTGCATGTTGGCCTCATGTCCATTACAGTGAGCAGGAGATCCCCACTCATCTGTTACACCTTTAAGTGATGTCTCCATGGGAAGGTACAGATTGCAGAAGCACTGAATTTCAGAGAAAATTTTTGTCAGGTCAGCTTGTATGGTTGCTTTATCCCTTCAGTCCCTTGTTTCTCTTTACCTCCTGCTTTTCCAGACATTCCAGGATAGGGAAAACAAAACAAATCTGCTTTAAGCACGTACTTTTTTCCTTTGCTTTTTCAGAAGATATAAATCTTGAGCTGATTAAATTACAGGCTGTAAAAATTTCTTGGTCTTGAATGAGTGCAGCATCCCATTGCTCAGTGAAGTCTGGTTATAGAATCACACTCCTTCTGGGCCTGGCTTTGCTGTTCTGAACTTCATATGATGTCAGCAACAGTTTGTCCTGTAACATCTAAGCCTGGTTCTAGAGAAGAGTAGGAGTGAGGTTTTGCCAGTTGTCTCCTGTTTGTCCTGCCCAGCAATGCAGTATCACATGCTATTGGTGCTTGTGAGCGTGGGAGCAGGACTGTGTTCAACTGGGCATGATGCTGTCAGCATATCCTGACAATGGATGGCAAATTATCCATGTGTGTCATCACTGATCTGCATGCATTCATGTATTTGTTTCCAGTAAAGATGTATTTCAGGTTTGCAGTGTACAAACAGAATAATACAGACGTAATTTCACACAGCCCAGAGAAATGCTCTCTTTTTTGTTTTTTTTGTTTTTTTTGCAACAGATGTTAATAATGTACTTATAAATACTGTGTTTAGAATGGGACACTGAACACTAATTCCTGTTAACAGATAAAGGTTAATAATGTCCAAAGAGAGCTTATGAAAAAATGAAAATGTTGTGTTCAAGAGCTCTCCACTGTAATTGCCCAGATAACCTTGGGCCAGATGCTATCAACAGTCAGTGCTTCTCATGGCAGTGAGCACCTACCTCACTGAGCAGTCCCACTGAAATAACAGCACCACTGGGAGTGCTTGGCCTGAGGCTATCCCTCGTGCCTCCCTGTGCAGATCTTCAGACACTTTCAAATGTCATGAGAGCTCAGCTAATCTCAGTCACCTTACCAGCACTGCCTATGGGATATTTGTCTAAATACATTGTAAACCTGAGTGCAGTTTGAGGGTTTAAGTAAAATTGGATTAGTAAAAGTACTTTTGGTATGTAAATTGCTAGCAACCATATATCTGCAATGTTTTTCTCTTCTTCTGCTAGGGCTGGGCCTAAACCACGCAGGCTTCAGCTCTTGTGACAGAATTCAAATCACTGCACTTTGTCAAGGGTAGAGATGCTCTTGGGCAGATCAGCATAGGTCAGTGTTCCCATAGAATAAGCAGGTGAGCACAGTGATTGAGCTGAATTTCAGTGGGGGTCCAGACTTGTGTGGATCTGAAGCACACTCAAAGAAGGCAAGAGAACTATGAATTTTTGGGCAGCATTGCAGTAGTTTGTATAAAAAACTTGCAGCCTGATCTACTGCCAGCTGTTGTTCTGGACTGAGGTGTACCTCAGTGTGTGTCTGGTATAATTAGTCCTGAGAAAAAGAATGAGGAGTGCACTTCATTTCAAATAAGATGATATGAGGCTTTTTCCATCTAAAAGTTTTTAGTAAGCCACAACATATATATATAATAACCCAGTTGCTGATGTGCACTTAGCTTCAAATAAGAGTACTGTGTTTGCTTTAGCATTATAGGAAATGCTTCCTTCCTCCTCATTTTAAAGGTAAGCGTCAAAGCTGTCAGACCTAAAATGACAATAATGCTGTTTAGAAAAATTCTCTTGGCATGAAGTTTCATATCAAATGCTATGAAGTGAATAAAATTGTCCTGAAAATAGAACTTGCAGCACAAAGGGACATGTTAACACATTTGGTTGATTCATGCAACATATAGGCAAAATTGGTCCAATCTTTTCCTGTAGCCATTCCTGATATCTACAACAAAAATGATCCCAGCAACATCCTTGGGATATCAACCTATTGTTGGGAAACTCTGTGGAGTTCATCTTGGTTTTGTTTCACCAGTGATCATTGGGCTGCTACATTGCTCCCTCTCTCTTCATGTGCCTTTGGAGCCAGGAGGAAGGCAGGCTAACTTGTTGGTCAGCCAGCAGGAGGAAGCTGTGAGATGCATGTGGGTACCTGTGAACCATAACCAAATGCTTAATTTTAGTCTCAGGAGCCCCAGCAAAGTCACCCAAATACCTGCAGAAATAGCAGCAACTTCAGAATGCATTTTCACTGTGGAGAGGTTTCTGTCTGTCTAGCCCTTTTCTGCTTCGATTCACTTTTCAATAGATAAGCAGTAGCAAAAAGAAAAAAGAAAAAAAAAGAAAAAAGAAAAAAGAAAAAAGAAAAAAGAAAATCTAGTCCCTGTTTCTCTCCTCTCCTCTCCTCTCCTCTCCTCTCCTCTCCTCTCCTCTCCTCTCCTCTCCTCTCCTCTCCTCTCCTCTCCTCTCCTCTCCTCTCCTCTCCTCTCCTCTCCTCTCCTCTCCTCTCCTCTCCTCTCTTCTTCTGTCATCTTGTAAAAAAAGAGTTAGGTCTCTAAATTAGGTGTTATCTTTTGGGGCTTGGAGCTTTTTTTTAATAGCAGCTCAGAGGAAGAAGCTTGAACACCTGTGGTCTCTTGACAGAGTCACAATCTGACTTTCTGAAATCCTGACAGTCTTGCCCTTCCCTCCCTCCTCCTTTGGTGTCAGGCTAATGCTTGTACCTTTTGATATGCCATCTCCTATGGGATGCCTGTGCCTTAACCCCAGAATTCTCAGGCTATGTTAGTTTTGATAAAACCAGGCAGTTTGCTGGTTGCTAAAGGCTTTGAAGAAAAATTAAGTCATTTTTTTCTCTCCCTTTTTCCCTTTTTTGGGATTTCAGGCCCCTTAACACCTCTCCAGGAGAAGGAAGAAATTAAAAAAAAAAAAAAAAAAAAAAGAGTGAACAAATCACTGCTCTTCTGGAGGAGAGAATGAAGCAGAGGAGGAGCACAGAATTTTTATGTGCCTGATAAATGCGTGTGTTGCTGAAAGCCAAAATCCTGAAATGGCAAGATGAGACATGGAAGCTTTATCTTGTGTAAAGGATGATGTTTTACGCTTGTTTTAGTGAATCAGATTGCTGGGCTGACTCCAGTCTTTGTCTTGGTGGGAACTTGATTAATAAGACAGATTACATATAAAAGAGTTCACATGACAAGAAGCAGGAGTAGATCTCTGTGAAAGAAACAAAAGCAAGTAATATTTTAATAAGTGGCCTGTGAAAAAGGCTTCCTGAGATAAATCTCTTCCACATGAGCCTGGTGATGTGGGACTGTACAGGGGAAAGCCTTTGCTCAGGCTGCAGGAAGGCAGGGGCCCACTGGAGCCATGAAGCTTCCCTGGGTGTTCTCATTCCTGTGGAAGTTTTTGTCATCCTCTACTTACTTTTGGCTAACACTGCCCAGGGTCAGGAATGGGAGAGGTACAAATCCTGGCCATCAGAAGTGACCCAAGAAACTCCAGGAACTGCTCTGTCAGAAACACACAGAACACAGAAATGAGAAACCTGCAGGAAAGTAAAAAGCTTGGAAAAGAGGAGCGCAGGTTTTCATAGAGAAAACTCCACAGGATGGGGATTACGGGTAATGGGGCAGAAAAAGCATGGAGTGAGCAGTTCATTCTGGAGTGGATGAAAGCTGTTGATTTTGGATGGAGTAGGGTTTGTCAGGGCTGTGGCAGGTTAGAGTGGGGCTCGGAGCTGCTGCAGGGAACGCTCAATGCTCCGCCAAGCATAGAAAGCAGCACGGAGCTGCTGTGGGACAACTCGTTGGGATCCTGGCCTAAATGAGCCCGGGAGAAAAAATTGTCTGTAGACTTAGTTATTTTTACAGCATAACATTGTTTTCCAGAAATATTGGAACTTCTTTCTCCTGCAAAAGGCATTTTAATGTTCCTTTAAAGCTAGTCTAAGTAAAAACAAAACACAAAAAAGCCAGATCAAAATCCCCTACAGTTCAGAAAATGGATATCACCAAAATCATAGTACAGCCAGAGTATTCTGCTTCTCTTAATTAACCCTCCCCTAACAAACTAAAATAAAAATTGTAGTTTGGATTTAATCTAAGCCAACTTTAGTTTAGTTTAGTTTAGTTAGCAGAAAACCCACTGTTATTCCCCAAAATCTAATTAGTTCTGGACACAGGAACAGATTTTCTGCCCTTTTTCATTTTGGTTTCACCATTCACACACAGTATCTCTTGATCTGTCAATTCTTTTCAGCCCTAACTTAAGGACGATATAGTTTGTGTTGAAAAGTCCATTGTAAAGAAAAAGATCGATCTAATACCAACAAAAGTATCAAGAGTCAAGGAAACGAAAAGACACACACTGATATAAGATAGATGAAAGAATCATTTTCTGTGCTGATAGAATGTAAAAAGGAAAGGGTCTATTTACTGCATCTGGCCAGCAGTGCCCTAACATCAAGTGGGGTGCTTCAGTGCTGTGTCCAACCCAACTTCAATGTACTGGGCCAGCTTGGAGCTCCAGAGCCTAGTCAAGTGTCAGCATGGTATTAAGTTGACTTCTCTGATACTTGAAACAGCTGTGAGGGTTACATAAATACCCCTCATGAACAGCAAGCAAAACCACCTGGGGCACTACCTAAGTGCTTTCCCTGCCCGATGTCACGGAGTCAGACTGGCTTTCTGCCTTGTGGAGCATCACCGTGTTCTCTCTGGCTGAGGTCTTCCAGCTGAGCCCTGACTGATGGCTACAGGGATGGATGCTCCTATTTGCCTTCTGCCTCAGTGCGTGCAGGAGCAGATAGGGAACTGCCGTCGGGCACAATGAAATCTGCTGTTTCTGAGAGGAGAGTGAGGATTTCTCTTCATAGAAAAGTTGCCTATAAGGTAGGGAGCTGTTCTGCATCGACACACACACTTCTTTCTTTTACCAGTGGTGATGTACCACCGCAAGAATATTCCTGATTTGGAAAAACTTACAGACTTCTGTGTTACAGGCGGATTCTGGCAAGTAAGAGGTAGTGATCAGTTCACTTCAGAAGGTTAAATGATTGCCAAGCTCAGCAGAGAAGCAGAAAAGGCAAAAGTGTTGTTTGAGACATATTCCACTCCCCAAAATAAAAACCCTGTCCTTCCTTTTCCTCTCTTTCTTGCAATCTGTCATAAACATGTGACTGAGACCAGGACTAGGGGTTCAGTAAATGTATAAATGTGGCAGAAGCAGCTCAGCACTCCCCAGCCCTGTGGGCACCCTGCCCTTTAGTAAGAGGCTGCCACCGCCATCGTGGGTTAGTGGAGATGAGCATATGCAGCATCTCAGCTGTGACTGCAGCAGCTCCTGTGTATTTGCAAACACACTGTCATTGCCTGTTCAGGCTAATTAGGCCAGAGAGGTGAGACCATACTGATGAAAGAGCCCACAAGTGTGAAGGGCTGAGAAGTTTGCACACATTTGCTTCTGCTGCTTTTCTTCAGGCAGGCAGGAGGCCAGCAGAGGAGCAGGGAGGTTGGCAGGGTACGGGGTACGGGAACATCTTTAAACACTTCACCAGAGCTCACGAGTCAAGCCCTAGGATTTATCCTGGTGGGCTGGATCAAATTGCCTATGGTTTCATGATCTTTCTTGAAGATATTTATTCTTGAAATGTTACTCCTAAAAGAAAGGTGAGAACTTTAAAAATTAGAATTAAAAAGTGCAGTCACACCACAGGAAATTCTCAGGTCAGATGGAGACTTTCTCTTCCAAACCTCATAAAAAACAAACAGCAAACTCAGTCCCTGAAAAGATGCTGAAAGAAAATGAGCCACAAAGCATGGTTTTTACTTCATTTTGTTTTCCAGAAAACAATACTTTTCACTGAATTTCCAATCTTTTTTTTTTTTTCCTTTAACGTAATTAGTCTTCTTTGCTCATTTTGCTTCCTTCTTTAAATAAGTTAGCTGAAAATACCAGTGCAAACTGTTCTGCTCAGTGAAACACTTCTCTGAATCCAGCACTGTGCAGGAAACTATCCCCTCTCCTGTCTGCTGCGGTGGCTGATCTGATGACGTTGGAGGAACATGCATAAGTGAGCAGGGATTGATGGTGTCGAAATCAGGCTATTGCTTGGAGGAGCAGCTTTTAATTTTCAGAAGATTTACAGAAAAATGTCCGTGATTTTCTGTGCTGCCAGTAGCTGTGTGACACAGTGCAGTGGGAAAGCTTTTGCCCCTAAGATCTGCTTTGGATTGCAAAAATAGCACCTCAGACAAGCGCAGCAAAACCTGGATGGGAGCTGGCAGAGTTGCAGGATCAAACACTGTCTGTGCAATTAAGATATTTCACAGAGATTTCTGTCCTGGTATCATAAAAGCACAGCTTTTGGAAGTGTGGACATAACCCTTCCCTTCTACCTTCATCAAGAAGCGCTATGACAGCTTTGCTTTTTCCTTTCTGATGCTATTTCTCTGATCCATCAAAAAGAGGGAAAAGGGTTGTAGGATCCCTCAGGAGAACAGTGTTTAGCACTCATTTGGCAGGTGATATTTACCCTGCTTTAAGAGGATTAGATGCAGTCACAGTCCATAGTACTAGCTGAGTATCTCTGACATCAGCGACCAAGGCTGCCTTGCGCAGCCTCTGCCCTTTTTACCTGCTCTGCTGTAAAAGGCAGGGCCACGGTGAGTTCATCCCCTGCCAGGCTGAAGGGTCTTTTGCAAAGCAAGGCAGTGGGAGAAAGCCTGTGAAAGCAAACCAAAGCAGCACAGCAGTACTGAAAGTTGCTATCAAGGCATTTATTGGTATGCCAGTTGGGCTTCAGCTTTCCAGTTGCATAGCTCTCTTGTTTTTCAAGCCTGCTCTGGCTTGTAACACTTAAAAGCACACTGTGGACAAAGCATTTAAAGGTGCAAAATGCCGACAGAAAAGCAGGCAAGAAGGAAAAAGGGTTTGTCTGTTCCAGGTCGGTTTGTTTTTTTATCATCATTCATTTTTAAATTTCATTTGTATTTGAAGTGGAAAGTGTGTGTAATCATGTGAAAAGTAAATTAAGGTAGTTTACTTATAGGTGACAAAGAGATAAACACCTCATTTGTTCCCATGGAGGCTACTGTTGAAAGATGATAAAGTAAACGTGTCTAGAAGCTGAACCCCACTTTCAGCTTGTGTAGGGCAGGGTGGGAAGAGCCTCCAGCCTCAGCCCAAAGGGCCCGGCTCTGCTTCATCTCCTCTGGAGACAGCTCTGCTGTAAAGCGCCAAGATGAGGGGAGCCTCCTGCCCTCTCTAGCTGCTCTTTCCTTTCCTCACAGCTCCCTATTCTTACTGCTCCTCTCCCCTGCAGCTCGCCTGTGCTCAGCTTGCTGCCTGCATAGCGCTCAGTTGGCAGCTGTGCTGGGCAGAGGGCAGTGGGAAGCATGCCTGAGACCATGTCCATGGGAATGGCCTGGTGGCTTTTATGTACTTTGTAGAAACAGAAACTAGTATTATTCAATCAGTTGTCGCAATCCATGAATGGATAATCAGTGCAACACTGCAGCTCTTCCTTACTGCTCATTTCAGAAGGCAGCCCTGCTGCCACAAACACACCACAGGACAGAGCACTTAATGCTTGAGAAGCAGGTTCTTTGGAAGTCCTTCCAGAATGGAAAAGAGAAACCTTTCTTACTATGCTTTTTTTCACCAAACACATGAGAAAGGAAGCAGGTTAAAAAAGAGGACCTGAGTTTAGCAGATGAACAGATGAGGGACTGAGCTCAGAAGAGAAACAATTTCTGCTGAATGTATTTCTTGCTCTAGATGAATACTTTTAACCAAATTTGTCACATCTTTGAGCTGGCAGATACCTGTTATATCTCGTATGGAAAGTGAGATTTGAAGCCAGCTTTGATTGAGAGGCTTGTCTGTTAGTCTGAGGCTCTGCTAGTGCGAAATGACTGCTGCGATAAATGGCAGTACTCTTAGGTATGTGTTTGCTATTCCAGCTGCTTGAGCAAACATCATGTACAATCAGGCTTCGGCCTGGGGATTGTGCCTGAGCTTGTGTTGTATTTCATTTTGCCTTCCTTATCCCTTCACTTCATACTAAGCGTGGAACTGGCGCCTTGAGGCCAAGTCCCTTTTGTTATTTATTACGGCACATAGTAATTAGGCATCTGACTTGGCACCCTTGAGCCTATGCAAGTATCTCCATTTGATATATGGAGCATGAGAAGTTAGTTGTCTCAGAATGGAAAAAGAAGCCAAGGATATACTGAGCAGGGAATTCCAGCCAGATTTCATTCGTCATCAACCACAGCAATAAAGATCCTGGAAAGGTTTTACTACCCATCAGGGAACTTATGCGCATTTTCTCGAAACTGAAAAGATACGACTGGAAGGACTAGGAAGTTAGCTTGTAATTTGCCCTGGCCTATTCCTACCTTTTGTGAGGCCAGTTCACCCACTGTGGGCATCATTCCCCTCCACCAAACCTGCCTGCCTCTTCTCAAGCCAATGTTGGGTTTAATTTTGTCTGCTGAGTACTGCAGGTACACCTCCCATATTTACATCCAGTTGTTTTCTTGAGTTGTCCAAAATATGAAACAATAAAGTGAAAACATCTGACATCAGCTCCAACATTTGTTTCCTATTACATCCAAATATTTTTTTTACCTAAGAAGTATATTTCTGTTGAAAAATCACTCTGAAGGAAGTGTTTTATTCAAAAGGTTATTACCTTAGCTGGCTTTTAAAGTAAGATGTTAAGGAGGCCAACATTTGAGGTTCTGTAATTGTAGCAGCTTTTTTTGTCTGTTTTTGGCCAGGGAACAGCTTTGGTTAAAAACTTCATAGGGAATTCATAACAATAACAAGATGAAATACACAAAACAACTTTGCCAACAGGCGTAGAAATAATAACGGGGATTATTTAAGGAAACAATGAGGGCACGGGAGCTGAGACCCCCAGAATGAGCTTCCTTGTTTCAGCTGTGTCCATTTGTTTATATGATCAGGTCATTTATTTAATCTGAAAACATCCTGTTTCGTTGTATAAATAACTGTAGAGGTTTTTCCTGCAAGTGCATAAGTATTATCTAAATACTCTACTGTCATTCCTGACCAGGAAATAGTACTGCACAGCTGCGGGCAGGCCCAGAGCTAGCACAGTGGCCAGCTGCAGAGCTGAGTTGTTCTGGTCTGTTTTGTTTTTGTTTGTTTGTTTTCTTTATCAAAACCCAGGAAAGAACCCACATCCCTATTGCTTTGTGCGCCATAAGCTTGCTTGCATCCCCTGGTAGCTGTAATCTCACAGAACTTTCTCATATTTTGTGTGCTGGTTATCCAGGATGTATTATTAAATGCCAGGAGGGGAGAGCTTTAAGCTTGTACAGTGCAGTGCCAAATTTATGTGCCTTAATTTATGTTGCTTGGCATAGCATCTGGCAGAGAGTAGATACAATTATATCCGTCTTCTTCCTGTTTAAGCCCCTTTCCTTCTCTCTGCTCTGCTCCCAGAGCAGCACCGTCTGGTTAGGAGCCATGATGTGTCTCCAGATGGGGGCCTGGATTTGTAAAGACAGCGCTAACTGTACAATTTGTTGTTTTCCCTTGCTGCATGCTGATGCATACAACATGGATTTGAAAATGTAATCTCCTCCCACTGATAGACTGCAGGTCTCATCTAGAGACAAGAAGGAATTCAAGGAACTTGGCAACAGCAGCTGCCTTTCAGAACTGCCTCAAAGTATCAGGGAGCTGTGGGACAACCTACTTCAGGTTTTGTCTTGCCACCTGTTGCTGCAGTATCTGTACAGGCACCATATGAAACAGACCGGAGAACAAAGCCCTAACCAGATCTCTCTTTTGATTCATCAGCTGTTATCTTTACAGTAAGGGTGACGGAGCACTGGAACAGGCTGCCCAGAGAGGTAGTGAAGTCTCCATCTATGGAGATATTCTAGACCTATCTGGACATCAACCTGTGACACACTGTGAGGTTGTGGGTTGTGTTGTAGGCTTTAGCAGGGGGGTTGGACTCGGTGATCTCTGGAGGTCCCTTCCAACCCCTGCAATTCTGTGATTCTGCGTATGGAAAGTTCAGCCTGGATGCAGAACTTGTCTCTGAGTAACAGTAAAACCGTTCAGTTCTGCTGGTTTGGTTTGAGATTTTGAATCTAGTAGAAAGTAAGGCAATTAAGCAGCAGCTTTTTAAATATACATGTAGGTGTCCAGCTATTAATTCTGTTGGAAAAATGTCAGGGAAGAAACCTTCCATGGGTTAGCGATCAGATTTATTTCCTGTGCAGCTTTTACTGCAGTCTTACAAAGTGTCTGAGATGTTTTGAGGTGAACATCTAAACAGTGACCTAAACTCCAAGAAACAATGGGAAGAAATGCACTGTTGCTTTCACGGAGTTTCTTTTCATGGAGCTTTGTGTCATTCATAATTAATGTTGTAGTTCTGTGCTCATAAAATGATCCCTGCCCCTCATGCTTTTTCACAGGTGATGTCTGTACTTCAGCTGCTGGATTATATTTATTTCAACCTGGAATCTTTAAAACAATCACAGAATCACAGAATCACAGAATCACAGAATCACCTGGGTTGGAAGGGACCTCAAGGATCATGTAGTTCCAACCCCCCTGCCTAGCAGGGCCACCAAACATCCACATTCAGATCAGGTTGCCCAGGACCCCGTCCAACCTGGCCTTGAACACATCCAAGGATGGGGCATCCACAACCTCCCTGGGCAGCCCGTTCCAGGGCCTAACCACTCTCCTTGTGAAGAACTTCCCCCTAACATCCAACCTAAATCTTTCCTCCTTCAACTTTGATCCATTTCCCCTAGTCCTGCTGTTGTCAGCCCTTCTGAAGAGTTTACTCCCCTCCTGGGTGTAGGTTCCCTTCAGGTATTGATAGGCTGCAATGAGGTCGCCCCGCAGCCTTCTCTTCTCCAGGCTGAACAAGCCCAACTCCCTCAGCCTGTCCTCATAGGGGAGGTGCTCCAGCCCCCTGATCATCTTAGTCGCCCTCCTCTGGACCCTTTCCAAGATCTCTATGTCTTTCTTGTACTGAGGGCTCCACACCTGGACACAGTACTCCAGGTGGGGCCTCACAAGAGCCGAGTAGAGAGGGACAATCACCTCCCTCTCCCTGCTGACCACCCCTCTCCTGATGGAGCCCAGGATCCCATTTGCCTTTCGAGCTGCCAGAGCGCACTGCTGGCTCATGTTAAGTCTCTCGTCCATCAGGACCCCCAGGTCCTTCTCTGCCGAGCTGCTCTCAAGGACCACTCCTCCCAGCCTGTACGGGTGCCTGGGGTTCTTCCGGCCCAAATGCAAAACCTTGCACTTTGCCGTGTTGAACCTCATTAGGTTCACCCGAGCCCAGCCCTCAAGCCTGTCGAGGTCCCTCTGAATGGCATCCCTTCCTTCCGCCGTATCAACCGCACCACTCAGCTTGGTGTCGTCAGCAAACTTGCTGAGGGTGCACTCAATTCCCTCATCGATGTCATTAATAAAGATGTTAAAGAGCACCGGTCCCAAGACAGACCCTTGGGGGACACCACTTGTTACCGGCCTCCACCTGGACATAGAGCCATTGACCACCACCCTCTGTCTGCGGCCTTTCAACCAATTGCTTATCCATCGGGTCGTCCACCCATCAAATCCACTTCCCTCCAATTTGGAGATGAGGATGTGGTGGGGGACCATGTCAAAGGCCTTGCTCAGGTCCAGGTAAATGACATCGGTCGCCTTCCCTTCGTCCACCAATGCCGTCACTCCATCATAGAAGGCCACAAGATTAGTCAGGCATGACCTTCCCTTGGTGAAGCCGTGCTGGCTGTCTCGGATCACATGCTCATTCTTTATGTGATCGAGCATGTTGTCCAGGAGGATCTGTTCCATGATCTTCCCAGGCACGGAGGTGAGACTCACCGGCCTGTAGTTCCCCGGGTCCTCCCTGCTCCCCTTCTTGTATATGGGAGTGACGTGACCCTTCCTCCAGTCATCCGGGACCTCACCTGACAGCCACGACTTCTCAAATATGATGGAGAGCGGCTCGGCAACCACCTCAGCCAGCTCCTTCAGGACCCTGGGATGCACGCCATCTGGTCCCATAGACTTGTACACATTCAGTCTAAGGAGGTACTCTCGGACTTGCTCTGCCCTTACAGTGGGGAGGGATTTACCTCCTTGGTCCCCACATAGAGGTTTGGGGATGCAGGGTTCATGGACGTGAAGAAGACTAGAATCCTGGCCACCAGTGAAGACCGAGGTGAAGAACTCATTCAGCACCTCAGCTTTCTCTTCATCTGTTGAAGCCAGTTCTCCTTTTAAATTTACCAAAGTAGGTACGCCCGTTTTGGCCTGTCTCTTCTGGCCAATGTACCTGTAGAAGGTTTTCTTATTGTTTTTCACGTCCCTTGCCAAGTTCAGTTCTGCCTGCGCCTTGGCTTCCCTGATCCCACGTCTGCAAGTCCGGACGGCATCCCTGTACTCTTCCCAGGTGACACAGCCTTGTTTCCAGAGCTTGTACACCCCTTTCTTCGCCCTCAGTTCTCTCAGCAGGTCCTTGCTGAGCCATGCCGGTTTCCTACCTCGCCTGCCCACTTTCTTATTCAGAGGAATGGAGACCTCTTGTGCTTCCAGGAGGGCATCCTTGAAGAGCCGCCAGCTCTCCTCAACATCCCTGTCTTTGAGGGCAGCGCGCCAGGGGATCTTGGCCAGCAATCCATTGAGTAGCTTGAAGTCTGCTTTTCTAAAGTTCAGTGTCCTGATCCTGCTCTTTGCCAAGCCCACATCGCTTGAGATCACAAACTCAACCAGGGCGTGGTCGCTGGAGCCCAGGCAGCCTCCAACCTTGACGCCTTTGATGATCTCCTCGGCGTTGGTAAGCAGCAGGTCTAGCAGCGCTTCACCTCTGGTCGGTCTGTCCAATACCTGAACCAGAAAGCTATCGTCAATGGATTCCAAGAGCCTTCTGGAGCTCTTGCAGCTCGCCGTGTGGTTTTTCCAACAGATGTCCGGATGGTTGAAGTCCCCCACCAGGACAAGAGCCCGTGAGCCAGACATCTCACGCATCTGGAGCAAGAAAGCCTCATCAACAGCCTCCCCTTGATCAGGTGGTCTGTAGTATACCCCTAAGACTAGCTGACCTATATTAGTCCCATCTCTAATCCTAACCCACAGGCTCTCAACCTGTTCCTGACTGTTTCTCGTAGGGAGCTCCTCACAGTTTATCCAATCTCTGACATAGAGAGCAACTCCCCCACCCCTCCTACCTCGCCTATCTTTCCTAAAGAGTCTATAGCCGTCGATGGCAGTATCCCAATTGTGGGAGTCATCCCACCATGTTTCTGTGATAGCAACAAGGTCATAACTTTCCGAGTGCATCACAGTTTCGAGTTCCTCCTGCTTGTTACTCAGGCTGCGTGCATTGGTATAAAGGCACTTCAGCCGGGCTATCCGTCTCGCCACCTTTATAAGGGATCTAGGATCCCCTAGAACAGCAGCATCCCCAGCATCCCCCTGCCCTAGTCCTTCCCTATGCACTCTGCCGTCATTGCCCATGGAGTTTGGTACAAGCCCTCGAATGACCCATTCAACTCCAGTAGCCCTTATTTTGTCCCCTTCCCCCTTCATTCCTAGTTTAAAGACCTGTCAATGAGTCCAGCTAATTCTTCCGCTAAGATCCTCTTACCCCTCAGGGACAGGCTGCATGCGTCAGCAGCCATCATGCCAGGTGCAGTGTAAATTGCCCCATGGTCAAAAAAGCCGAAATTCTTGCGCCTGCACCAGCTCTTAAGCCATCTATTGAAGAGTTGGGTATTTTGGATCCTCCCTGTACCTTTCCCTGACACCACGGGGATAGAAGAAACACCACGGGGATAGAAGAAGCTCAGGTTGTTTCCTTTCAGCCATAAAGTTTATGCTGACCAAGTCAGAACGACAAGTATCAAATTTAAGATAGAAGGGGAAAAAACATAACACTTCAACACTGATTATTTTTTCCTCTTTGAGGTTGCTAGTTAGCTTCCCCTCCTGAAGGACTCAGAGCACTCTGTAATGTCCTGCAAATATCAAGAAAATAAAAGGAGAGGTACAAAGTGAAGAGAACATGTTAAGCCAGCCCAGCTGACCGGCAAACCACTGTGCAGCAGGGCTTCACTCACACAGGAGTTGATCAGAGGCAGGGATGTTCTATCCCAGCTCCTCTTTGGCAATGTTCCATCACACAGGAGGGTCAGTCTTGCCAGCTGACTTGCTTTGGTCAGGAAGTCATATTTGCCTAGGCAGTAGGGCTCAGTAAACGTGGCTCACCTTCACTGGAATTACTGAGGATTACGGGAATTACAGCAGCAGCTCAGCAGCAGGTACTGGGAGGGGAATGGCTTTTAGAAGGCAATTTTCCAAGCTCTTTTGTGTACAAAGCTATTTAACTTGGTGATATTTTTATCATAGTAGCCATTTTGCGTGGCTCCTCTGACTGTTGCTGTGAGTGACATATTAGAAGGAACAATCATTTTAACTGGCAAAGAGAAAATAACCATCCCAGTTAAATGTCCCACTGGGGAGGGCAGCAAGGATGCTGTCAGGCTTCTGAGAAAAGAAGCTGCAAATTTGAGACTGGAAGAGGAAGGAGGGCGATGTGAGGGCAGATAACCTGTCCCACCTGTGGAAAAAAGTAGTACTTAGTGATGCCAGAGCCTGTGATGAGCCAGCAAGTGATGAGGGGAATGAATCAGCAGAAGATTATGATATTCACAGTGAAGGTTTTGAGGGAGACAGTGAGAAAGGAGGTTGGTGAGTTTTGTTTTTTAACTGAACTTATTGTTGGAAATGTTGCTTCTTTTCTTCAGCTACTCAAAGGTAGCAACACATCATGGTGCAGTAAAGAAAACTGTACAAAACTATTTACTTTTCCCAGGGAGGCTGTTTTGCTGAAACTGGCTTGTCCTTGCCCAGTATTACTGAAACAGCAAGTAAATCAGTATATTAATGAATGAGATACGCAGAAGTCAGAAGCTGTGTGCAGTGCCCAGGTCACCTGTTGGCCAGCATCCATGCTGCTGGGCTATGCTTGCGCTGCCTCCATCAGCATCTGCAGAGATGTCTTTTTTCAAAGCCAAGCAGAATTGGAGGTGTTCAGTGAGTTGGAATTGCTTTTTTTTTTTGGCCAGCCACTGTTGCGTGTGTAGTTAGGAGGTACACAGAAATACAACAGCTGAATAATTGCTCTCCTTGATGTCCTGCAAATCAGTAACCTCTCTATTCCAACTTCATCTTTCTCTATTGCTTGCTGCCTGTGTCACTTCTTTTCCTTTTCTGGTGGTACCACTTCTGTCGCTTTTGCTTTTTGCGTGGCTGATGAGTCGTGGGCTTGTGAGATCATTACTGGTTCCAATGAGCTCTAGAAACAGCTAGAATAACACCATTTGTTCCTTGCTGTTCTTAGTCTCCCGTGAAAGTGAAATCTATACAGAACTTAATTACATTTTATATCTTATGTGTTGCTTTAACTGCACTAATATTTACAAACGGATTTGACAAATATCATTGCATTTAAGGGAAGGACCCCCTCTGTGTTGTCTGTTCAAGTTACTGAAAAGAAATAGGAAAGAACGAGGTCTTTCAGAAACTTTAATTACTAGATGATTTCATTGACCCACTAGGCTGGTGGTATCTGCCTTCCAGTCTTTTTCCAATAATTCCTCTTTCATTTGGATGTTTAGGGATACGTTAGTATGTGACCATAATAATTACAAATGGTAATGATTAAAAATTACGGGTTTCAGCTGTAAAGAGTCTTTCTCATTCCAGCCGAAGGCAAAATACAGCCTCTGATTTCTGTTCTTTTCTTTGTAGTAAGGGGATGAGATTTGCAGATGAGCGTAGGAGGAAAGAGGCAGCTGATAGCAAGCTTGAGAAGGAAAGAAAGCATTTTGTGGGGTGTATTTGAAAGCCCCAACTTGCATCCTCCTGCAAAAGAAGGCTCCAGCTGCTCGCTTCTGAAGCTCCTTTTGAGCTGGGAAGGTGTGCAGGTTCTATTTGAGGTTTTGTGTGAGATGATTTGGGTTCTCAGACCTAACCTTGACTACTGGGTTTATGTTTCACCTTTGAGTTCCTAACATGTTAGATGTGGTAAATGAAGTGACTGTCATCATCAGCTAACACATACTGACAAGTTCATCTTCTGTCTTCCAATTCTGCTTGAAGAGCCATTTACTAGGAAAAAGACAACTGTGTGCTGGTATCAGCTAACTGCCCTTCTGTGACTGAGTACATCTGTCAGTTAAAGCAGGCCTTGAGGCTGCTGTGGCCAAGCTCCCGAGCCTTTAGCTGCTGATGGAGTGATGTTTTGCACTGTTCCTCAGCCTAAATCTTCAGAGCATCCGAAGGTGTTACCCTTCTTACAGCCACTTGACACTGAAGAAGGGGTCTGTGAGAAATCAGAAAAATTAGGTGGAGGAAAGCATCCTGTTCCTTTTCTAAGTGAGATAGAAACAAAAGCAAGTTTAGCAAGGCTGCAGCTTCTGATAGGAGAATGGGACATGGAAAAATTATAAATTTCTTCCCCTCCTCCTGTCCTAGATTTTTCATACAATCCCCAGAGAGGAGGAGGGATGGATGCTCTGAATTATTTCTCCTCTTTTTGCTGTCAGAGGTGAAGTGGTTATATTAGTGTAGGCAGCCAGCACTGCTGCGACTTCATATTTTGTAATAACGCTTCTGACTGTTGTACCACATCTGTAATTCAGTACGCAGAGAACCTGTGGCACTTGATACACCCCTGGCTTGCCCCGCTCCCTTCTCTGGAGCCCTGTGCTGACACACAGCAGAAATCCGAGTTTGGCTTTTGTAACAGTTGGACAACCCTGCTTGTGAGAACTGGAATATGACCTGCAATTTTAATTCTGCTGCTTGCTTTGCTCTTAGTTTAATAAGCCAAATAATAGTTTCTTTTCCATACTTTTTAGGAGACGTAATGACCAAACTCATTTTTAACCTGCCTGCCCTCTCTGTCCCAGTTTTAGCCTCTTACATTTGTCTTTTTTTTCCGTTCTTTGTTGCCTATGTAGGCAGCTGAAGTAGATAATTCACAAATCCAGTCTCTTGTTTCTTTTTATTAGGCTAAATCATAAAACTCAAAGAAACAGACAAAAACAAAAAACCCAAACCTAACGCTAGAGCTAATTTTTGCTTGATAAATGAGTTCATTTCTTTTCCAGGGGATGAGAGAGGAAACCAAACCATTATTAATTTAACAAATTTCCCATCTTAACGTTTCAGAGGAGATTTATGCTGTTTACATAACCACGCAGTATTCCTACCTTTGTAAGTACATAGCTGCCATTAGCCAGCCAGATGTGACCCGAGAGCTGCCCTCAGCGCCTTTTTGTTTAATTAGGCAATATATCTGCTTTGGGGCATGTAAGGTGTGACAGAGAAACATCTGCCAAGAGCATCACTGTCTCTGCATTAGGAATGTCAAATAGAGTGCCTTCGTGGAGGGTTGTTAGAGTTAGGGTGGTAAGGTTAGGTCATGGTTGATGATCTTTAAGGTCCTTTCCAGCCTGAGTGATTCTTTGATTCTATGCTTCAACAGCTGCTGGCATCTTCTGGAAGCAGTTCCACCATGTTAGTGAATGGAAATATTATATATTCTACACCTTTTTTTTACATCTTTTACATCTTTTTTTTTTTTTTTTCTCTCAGCATTCTCTATTAGTACAGTCAGTTATGTAAAAGTTGAGATACTAAGGGGGGGTTTCATTGAGTTTTGTCATTGCTGATGCTGTATTATGCAATTAAACCTTACAGTGCCCTGGCTCCAACACTTTCATCTTCTACTGAAATGTGTGAATTCTTTCAAGAGCTCACTTTTCTCCTCTTTAAATAAAGCCATATTGACATACACGGTGACAACTACAGATGAAGCAATCTAAGGTCTTCCATTGCGAAGGTGATTTTCTTGAATCATTGTTCCATTTAGAGCAAAGTGCTGGTTTCTATCGACATCGCTGTGTCTCCCCTTGACCTCCATTGGACCATGTTGCATGTGTAGCTTTGTGGGAGGAAGAAGCAGACCTGAAGGGATGTAGGGCTCTTTGTGATGTTAAGCAAAGAGGTCCAAGTGAACATGTTTCTCTGCTGTCACAGCTGATTTTGTTTCTATGGTTCATCTGTTTTCTGCTTTTAGGAAAAATGAGGAAAAGGAAACTCCCTCAAAACATAGCCACGGCAGCCAGAAATTCAGGATTTTTCCAGTTTTTCCACTTAGTTTTTGTATCTCCTAATTGAGGGACAATCCTGTAGTATTGTCTTCAGTAAGGAAATACCATTTTTTGTGTTCTTTCATATCCCTGATACTGCTACCCATTTTGCTTCTGGTTTGAAGACTGTGATGCTAAACTGATGAATGAGTTTGCAATAACACAATTGAATACATTAAATTAAATTCGGCTTGGACAATGGAATTTTTTTGTTGTTTTGCTATGTGGAATGATTTTGAATAGTTACCAGTGATGCGTACAACAAAGACACGAAGCAATTTGAAAAATGGCATGCCTTACCTAAAAAGAGCATTTAAAAGAAATAAGCCAGAGTAGTATTGTGCTTCTTTCAGTAAATGCAGCATTTAGAATGTACTTTTCTGTATGTTGGCTTATGTTCATTGTATTTTCTGCATTCACTTAAATCCCTATCTTGTAGCATTGCTGTTTACAGCAAGCTGGAGTTTTCCAAATTAAATGTGCAGGGTTGCACAGACAGAGGCAAATTCAGCAATCCCTACTGCATCAACGCAATGGCTATAAAAGTATATTTTATTGATCCCTCCCAGTAAGTAGCAATATGCAATAAATAGTTTGGTTTTACAGCTAGACCCTGTAGAAAGGCATAGGATTTCTTTCTAAATAAAAATGTTTGCTGAAAGGAATGGGCATAGTTCAATTCTAAAATATTTTCCTTCCTCGGTACTTATATAATAAAGCAGCACTAACAGAAAGCCTAGGGTAACTGGCCACAAAACAAGGTGGTTTGTGAAATGCATAGCCCACAGATCCCGAATGGAGTGGTATCTCCTCTGAGGCACAGAGCTCACTTACATTTATTCTGGGGTCACTACTCCTGAAAGCAGGCTGGGGCTGGCTCCTGTGCTAACCCAGCATTACACCTAGCAGAAGCTGTTCCTTCTTCCTTATTATCACATGTCAAGCATTCTGTGTTATAAACTAAACATTCCTGCTTCCTATGTAGAATGCAGAGGAAATTATAACAGGTCTTTCTTACCTGGGGAAGCGTAAGACCCAGAGTATTTCCTCTACCAAACACTTGGTGTTACTGCAGCTAGTGCAGACTGGAATTAGTTTGTGTTGTACTGAAGTCTCCTTGTCAAGTATTTATAAGTTTTGCCACAGACATGATATAGAGTCTGTCTATCCAATTTGCAATTATGGATATGAGTTCTTTGAGGAGGAAAATGCTGCACTGTGGCTGAAACAGCTCTGACACAGAAGCCTTCCTTCAGTATGGACTGTGCTTACTGTTAGAGCTGCACTACAAGTGTCTTGATTGAGAAGCTTCATTATGCATTAAAACAAGAGGTGGGAAAGGATGAGGGAAATCCCGGCTACATCTGACACAAGGACAAAAAGACAATTGCTTGTATACTTGTTTGAAATTCTAGGAAGTGCTGATAGAGTAAAATGATGGCACTGTAAATACTGATAATCAGCAATGTTTTGCTGCTGTTTTTCATGGAATATAAACACTTAGTAATGTAATATTTCCATTGCCTTTACCAAAATATTCAGTTGACATACAAAATGTATTCCTTTTTATACTGAAATGTAATTTGGGATATCGTCTTAGGACCAAAACAAGTTCTCTCCTATGTAAGTGAATCTAGCATGATGAATTTCTGTCCACTTGCTTGCATTATACAAAATGAAGATTAAATCTCTCATGAGTTTTCATAGGTTTTTCAGCTGTTAGACTAGAAGTTTTAGTTTAATCCCTGAAGACAATATCATTTTTTGCATAAATAGGAAACCCTGCTAAATTTTTGCCGAAGAATTGAACCACTGTATTTCTGCATGCTTCCACATCAAATTCAATCAAAACTCATTTTATCTTTGAAAAGTAATGTAGAAGAAAAATTTATAATCAGGTCCAGATGCTGACAAAATCACATATCTGTCTCTTTCAGAATGTTTTGTAAAGATCTTATTCCAAAAGGCAGCTGCTTGCTCTTCTACTGATCTGTTCATTTGGAATTTGAAATTGTGGGAAAATAATGGTTGAGCTTGATTCAGTAGGTAGAACACTGTGTACTCATGAAAGAGAGGTCCTATTTCAACTGTAATTGTGATTGTATTGGCCAGCAATTTCCAGTCACACGAAGAAGGAGAGGTATCATCAGGTCACACACCTGCATCTGCTGAAAACGAAACAGAAGTGGAAAAGTGGGAGAATTTATAAAGAAGCACATTTTCTCTGATTTGGGAAACCTGACTTCTTTGTATCTTTCTTCTGTTTGTTCTGCCTGTGGCCCTCACAGGAAGGAAGCTGCCAGAACAACAAGCATGCGCATCCAGAAATTTCAAAATCAGCAAAAGGTAAAGTTTACAGTTTTTTGTCCACTGCTTCTACCAAAACATAGCTGTAGTAGATGCAGACAAACCTTTTCAGCTGTTGACTCTGCCTGCTCCTTAGAACAAATATTTGCCATTCGGCTTTTCTTTCTTTAAATTTCATGTGAACATAAAAGTCTCACCAATAATATTGAAAAGCAGGGAATTTCCTTAGCAGTTTCTGCTCCTAGCACAGCAGAATATTTGAGACTGTGTTTTATAACTTTACACAGTCCACGGAGACACCAATTTTCCAGAAATTGGTCATCATTTTAATGCACAATTAATTTGGTTGTGATTTTGAACTGCTGGTCATCGGTCTCTGTAGTTGTGTTACACAGGCTGCATGCCTCCTGGTCTGTGAGTGCATTTCACTCATTACTCATGCTTGGCATAGACACGCAGCAGTTTCTGTTTCTGAGACAAAGCAGAAATAAACTATACTTGCATGTATTTTGTGATGGAAGAAATAATAAGATGGAATAGAAGTTGTCATTTCTTTCGAGGAGTGAGTGAGAGAGAAAAGTTTCACGCAGTAGTTTCTGTCTTTTTGGTGAACTTATCAAATGTTCTTGAAACCTAGAAGGTAAGTTAGAAAGCGAATCCAGTCTCCTTAAATTCTTTCACCACTTTAAGGTGGGTGCAAGTGTCATAATTAACATCAACCCTAGTAGAGGCTGTTAAGTATGTTCAAAGCAAGTAACAGAAATAATGTAACATATATTTTAAGTATTATTGCAAATATTGCTGTTTTATATAAATAAGTAAACCTAATTTATTTTAATTTAAAAGTCTACTGCATTAGAAAGGGCATTTAAAATAGTGACGCAGCACTGCTGAACTCTTGAATAATAGGGAAAGCCTCTGTGGGAGAGTAGAAGCACAGAGCTGGCGGCTGTGGGATAGGACCAAAATGTTTGAGGGCAAGAGGAAAATATTTCAGGGCCCACTGCAAGAGCTGACTGGAGAGAGAGAGGATTGAGGTGATATCAAGCAGGCAGCAGGGATGGCAGATGAGTTAGAATAGTGGGGAAACTAACAAGAATACGAGTGGATAAATACTTGTTGCGGGAGAATCTCTGTCTGTGTGGTGTGCCAGACTTAGCTGAGTGCATCCTTTAGCCACAGGGTAAGAACAACAAATTAACAAGAGAAAGAAGGACGTTTTGAACACTTTTCGGGATATCTCTGTTATAACAGGACTAGGTAGCTGGGGCTCTAGGCTGTCAGTGTTTGGGAACAGAAGATTGATTAAAAGACATGAGGAATAACTCGTTTGAAGGTTCTTGAATTGAAAAAGGCTTTGAAAAAATGTGAGCTAAATACTAGCAGTGTCCTCAAGTTACAGGTATAAAAGCCATCTGGAATTTATTTTAGGAACAACAGAAAAAGCCTTCAAGGCAAAGGGCTGTGTGTTCAAAAGAGTTACGAAATCACTGAAATAGAAATCAGGAGTGAAGAGTTACAGTAATGCAGAAGAGCCTGACCAGGAAATTAGGCTGCATCGGAGAGAGTGGGGATAAAGCAGTAATTACTTTGTCATGTTGAGTTGGACTTCACCATAGCACAATAGCCCTAAGCTTGTCAGTTAAAAAGATGAGGGGGCTGCAGATGTTATGCTCAACCCAAATTAAAGTGGTGGCAGTTTTTGGCAAGGGAGTATTTGTTGCTGAACCCAAGAACAAAGCTGAGAGAGCTGGTAAGGTGGAGACATGACCAGGGCAGGAGTACACATGGGACAGTTCAGCAGTTTGAAGGCAGGCTTGCCCAGGGAACTCTGCTGTAGCATAGTCCTGCGTCACAACAAACTGGAGCAGAAGCTCAAACCTGTGGCTAGTTTTCTGCGGCATCTCAGGAGGCTGGGTGTCCATCTGTAACCTGCCCTGATTTGAAGTGAAAGCTGTTAGCTCAAAGCACAGTCTCAACCCTCAGCACAGAAGGATGTAGCAGTAGTTCTGCTGGTGCCGTGGGAGCAAACCCAAAAACAGCAAGTTTGCTGCAAGGTAGTTCAGTCAGCCTAAAACGTGTGCATGATACAATTGCCTAGTACAACAGAGTACTCAGCTCAGCAAGTTCTTGAAGAACTGCATTTCTGTTGTAGCCAATAGTGGTGTTCAGTACAGGTGTGAAATAGGACTGCTCTGACCTTATCTTTAATTGTTTTAAATGCTTTGACGTCAGTTTCTTGACCCTTAATTCTGTCCTGACTAGAACAAAATCTCTGCCTAGACAGAACCATGAAGGAGCACTTCAGCACTGTGTGACAACGAATGAGCCTTTCAGGTCAATGAATTAAAGAGCTTGTTAGCCAGAGACTGGCAACCAGAGATATACAATTTCAGGAAACTTCTGCTTCTGGCAAGATACCTGCAGGATAGAAAGTTATCCCAGTTTCTTTTAATTTTTGCATACAAGGTAGAAGGGAACTAGGTCTCCTTTGGTATACACATAGCTAATGCAGTAGCAGCCATTTGTTAAACAATACAAATGCATTCATTTAAAATGTTTGAGTACGAGAAATAAAAATAATACAATTTGTCTTAAAACCTAAGCAGGAGGGCAGTGGATTACATTGAATACAGGCCTCTATGCCAATATATTTATCTGAATGCATTCCATCTCTGTTTCCCACTTGTGATGGAAAGGAATTCTCAGAATCTTTATTTTGGACAAGCCATTGGAATTGAGCAGGTCAGGCAGAAGCAGCACTTGTACAATAGGCCAGCCAGTATGTGAGATCTAGGGTGGGACAGTGTTTTTTTAACAGTATCTCCAGCATGTTTTGCTATCTCAGAATGCAGTCTATCCCCAGGTAAGTTTTGTCATTTGTTTATTTAGGTATTCATTTATTTTAGGAATTGCTGAAATTGCTGATTTTTCATAAACATCTCTGCTAAAGATTCTTTGTCTCCGCTATGGACATAGGCCCATGCTAGGATTAGAAACTGTGTAAATTCTTGTCCTCAGAAATAGGACCATAACAGGATAGAAGAGTTTTTGCATTGTCTTAGGAGCCAGAAGGATTAGTTACAGCCCTGTTAAGGCATAGCTCACTTTGCACTCATCTTGCTTCTAACCAGAGGTTTGCTCAGCATGCATTGCTCCCTTGCTCAGAATTGCCCACCTTACCCTCAGGTGGGTTCTACCAGCATCTCAGGTGGGATCTACCAGCATCTCCAAAGCTGGCTCAGGTGAGCTGGGTCTGAACAGAAGAGTAAATACTGTTGCTTTTCTTGCACTGAAAACTTTTGTACAGTGACAGCTTCACCAGAGATAAATGTTAATTAAACTTCATCTCAGAGTGCTGTAAATTAGTTAATAAGTGACCAGCTGAGTACTGTCTAGCTACTCATTCTGTTACATAAGGCTGCTGATCTCTCTGATGACTCACACTCCTGTGGGAGGTCAAATGCTCAGGGTTAAATCGCTTGTTATCACCTGAGAAGCATGAGAAGCAGTACTGTTTCAAACAGCATTAAGGGTTGTCTGCCCTGGCCAGTGAGAGCTACAGGACTGTCAGTCGCTCCAAAGGACATTTTAATCCAGACAAGCAACTGGGGAAATGAAGGATTGAGAGGCTATTTAACTTCCTGTTTGTAAACCTCTCCAGTTACAGCAGCTGGTTCTTGCTTTCATCCTTACCTGCTGAGGTCCATGGGGCTGATAAGTGTATGTTGCAATGCACCATTTGTTTTGGAAAAAAGGAAGCAAAATGGAAGGACTAGAAAAACAGAATACTTTTTCTGCTTACCAGAATAGAGCTGAGGGCTAATGGGTCCTGATCCACATCAGCAGGGTGTTAGAATAGAAAGACAGCATATTGTGTTCTGAATGAGGAAATGTGTTGTCTAAGTCAAATTAGAATTCTATGCTGGATAACTACATTTTATTAAACCTCTTAATTTACATTTGTAAAGGGATCCAGCCGGAGAGACATTTGACAGCAAAAACAAACCAACAAAAAAACCCTTTCAGAACCCAAACTTCCTGTTAGCAACTTAATAGACTTCTGTTCACCCCTGAGGAATCTGAAATAAATAAAAGATGGGAAAAAATCAATATACAAACATGTGGGGAAATGTACTGGTTGAGAGTGTGGGCAGAACTAATTTAGATAAGGTTAATGTTTCTGGTGTAATCCAGTGTTTCAAAATATCCCTTTTGCAAATGTTTGACCTTATGAATAATACAGCTGAAGAAAGTGTACCAGAAAAGTTTACTTCGCTTCTGGTAATTGTCACTCAAGTTAAACATAGGTATTACTGTTTGTATTAATCAAGGGCGGTTGTTTGTGGTTTGTTTTATATATATATATAAAATTTTTTATTTTATATATATATATATAATTTATATATATAAACAATATATATTTATATATTGTTATATTTATATATAATATAATATAATTTATATATTTATATATTATTATATAAACAATAATATATATATATAAAATAAATACATATATAAATATATATATATAAAATATAAATATCTTCAGTGGAGTTTTGTAATTGCTTGATTCTGGCAAGGCCTTTTAATGTGGCTTTCTTGCTGTTTTCTATCTTGTTTGTCTCTCTCTTGATACCCAAGAACACTTCATGTATGGCTATTATAAGCATTTGAAGTTTGTCGTTTGCCCTGCTGTTTCTCAATAAACTACTCAGTGAACGCAGCATCTTGAGGACTAGAATAGAGAGTAATGCTAGTACCTAATAGCTTACAGTACACACCTGCTACTTCCTGGCCTTAGGCAGAGCTCTGAGAAGAGTGAGATCTATTTTTCTATCTGTTTTTCTATCTATTGTGTTTGCAATACAAATAGGATCCCACCTCCTTTGGACTCCTCCAGAACACTAAGGTGCTTGCTCTACCCTGTGCCAGTTGTTTGCCTGGATGACCTTCCCAAAGCAAGATGACCTTCCCAAACCTTTGGCCAGTTTCCTCTTTAGAGATTATTTGTGTAGAATACATTTATGCTCTCA